TAGACCTTGCATACTTAACAGACTACTGTGTAGTGTGAACATAGCTTTTATATGCACTGGGAAACTAGAGAATTCACTTCAATGGCTGCATTGTGATAGTCACTTTATTATGGCAGAACTTCACCTGCAGTATCTCTGAGGAATGCTTGTATTTGTAACATATGTATCTTCCTTCCATTTCCAGAGTATATATCTTTATTTATATATAATTTAATATTTATAATAATTATTATAATAGTGACAATCCAATAGAAAACAGTAGGCCAAAAACTGAAACAGGCACATTACAAATGAGGATTCCAAATGATCATATGCAAAGGTGTTCAGGTTCATTATTAGTCCAGGAAATGAAATTTAGACTCGGATGAGATTACACCGCTTACCAGAATAGCTGAAGTTAAAAAGACTGGCAGTGCAAAGTGGTGGCAAGAGAGAGGGCAGTTGGAACTGTCATATGGTGCTGATGGGCATGCAAATTATGGGTTATCCATATTATGAAATGCTGTGATCCATTGGGGAAAAATCAGAAACGTCTGTATATATGGATGGAAAAAGATGTCAAGCCATATTGTAAGGTGAGAAGTGAAAATCCAGAATAAGTATGCATGGTATGGCCCCATTTATCTAAAAGAGACAGGAGGGGATGCCGAGCAGTTGCACTGGTGTGGCCGTAAAAAATCTGGCAGCAACAGCTATTAAATTTCCCAGCCAAGTGTGTATTAACATTATTTATATTTTAATTCTCTGTACCTATAAATTATATAGGCCTAGGGCCTTCGTAATCTCTCAGATTCTGTGCATGTGGGAAATTAGTTTTACCCACAAAAAGTTTTCTTCTTGGGGTTAGATTTTTAAAATTGTTTTGTAGAGCTAATGTAGTGAGCAGAGGAGTACAGACAGCAGGAACGAGAGAGCTGAATAGAGCCAAAGAGGGATATAGGACCCAGGAGGTGGGCAGAAAGACAGTGCTGGATTCACGGTTATAAACTAGCAGTGGGAGAGAGTGTGCAGACAGCTTTACTCCCCCCCACATCCAGACTGGAGCACTACTTTCTGCACTTACTTTTCTGCAAGGAAGAGAAGGTTCCGATGGTCTGATTGTCCCTCAGCCCAGCAAACCGCCTCGCTCTGCCTGGGGTCCCCAGCATCCCTCCTGTCTGCTAGGAGTAGGTGAAGCATGGGAGCACAGGACCTTTTTCTTTCGGTGAAAGACCATGCTACCCGCTGGAGCTGCAGTCAGTGAACCCTGTTCCAGTGAGAGCTGCAGGCGGGCTCTGTGAGATCTCTAACTCCCAGCGGGCATTGAGGCAGGGAAGAGGCATGCTTAATACAAGAAGGCTTGAAGTGCGTGAGTAGGTGATTGTAAATCCATAGGGTTAATTAAGCCTCGCTCATGTTAAACCTGCTTGCTTGTTCATTCCTCCATTCATTCATTGACTCATTCTTTCAGCTCAGGCATAGTGAGTCTTGCTCTGTACTCCCAGATGGTATTGGATCTTGAGGTCATGGCACAGTGGCAGAATGTCTGTGTTGGTGTTGCTGGATGTGGCAGCAACATATCCCCATTCATACATTCCATTTGCCGCTCTGTCATTTCCAGGTAGCTCTGTGTGTGCGTGCGTGTGTGCCTTATACCTTACAAAACATTTCTCAAGAACTGGAATCATGATATACTGTCAAACACAGTCACTCATTTGAACCTCTTTTATTTGTAGGTTGAATTACTGGACTGGACAATGTCACGTGTTTTGTGGACAGTATGGGTCTTGGGGGCTGTAACCAGCCTCTCCAAGGAAGTGGCCCCTCATCAGACTTCTCTGTCCTGTGACTCCACGGGCATCTGCGAGGGCCACTCCAGATCTTTAAACTCCATCCCTTCAGGACTCACGGCGGCTGTGAGAAGCCTTGACCTCTCCAACAATGAGATCACCTACATTGGCAACAGTGACCTGCAGGGCTGTGTGAACCTCAGGGCTCTGAGGCTGGAGTCTAATGAAATTAACACGATAGAGGAAGATTCTTTTTTTTCCCTGGGGAGTCTCGAACATTTGGACTTATCCTATAATCACATATCTAATTTATCATCCTCGTGGTTCAGGCCCCTTTCTTCCTTGAAGTTCTTAAACTTGCTGGGAAATCCTTACAAATCACTTGGGCAAACACCTCTTTTTTCTCAGCTCACAACTTTGCAAATTCTGAAAGTGGGAAATATTTACAGTTTCACTGCGATTCAGGAAAAGGATTTTGCTGGGCTGACTTTTCTTGAGGAACTTGAGATTGATGCTTCAAATCTCCAGAAGTATGAGCCAGAGAGTTTGAAGTCCATTCAGAACATCAGCCATCTGGCCCTTCGCATGAAACAGCCTGATTTGCTGCTGGAGATTTTTGTAGATCTTTTAAGTTCTGTGGAACATTTGGAACTGAGAGATACTCATTTGAACACTTTACATTTTTCAAAAGCATCCATCAATGAAACAAATACGTCGATTAAAAAGTGGACGTTTAGAAACGTGAAAATCACTGATGGAAGTTTTAGCGAACTTGTAAAACTGTTGAATTACGTTTCTGGAGTGTTAGAAGTAGAGTTTGAGGACTGTACTCTCCATGGGCTTGGCGACTTTGACGTATCTGACATGGGCAAAATTGGAAGTGTAGGTGGGATAGAGACATTAACAGTACGGAGGTTGGTCATTCCATACTTCTACTCGTTTCGTGATCTGAGTAGTGTGTATTCACTTACAGAAAGAGTTAAAAGAGTCACAGTAGAAAGCAGTAAGGTGTTTCTGGTTCCTTGTTTACTTTCACGACATTTAAAATCATTAGAATATTTGGATCTCAGTGACAATTTAATGGTTGAAGAATACTTGAGAAATGCAGCCTGTGAGCATGCCTGGCCCCTCCTACAAACCTTAATTTTAAGGCAAAATCGTTTGAAATCATTAGAAAAAACCGGAGAAACTTTGCTTACTCTGAAAAACTTGATTAACCTTGATATTAGTAAGAACAGTTATCTTTCTATGCCTGAAACTTGTCAGTGGCCAGAAAAGTTGAAATATTTGAACTTATCCAACACCAGAATATACAGCTTAACCCGATGCATCCCCTGGACACTGGAAATTTTAGATATTAGCAATAACAATCTCGATTCATTTTCTCTGACTTTGCCACAACTCAAAGAACTTTATATTTCCAGAAATAAGTTGAAGACTCTACCAGATGCCTCCTTCTTACCCACGTTACAGGTCATGAGAATCAGCAGAAATGCAATAAACACTTTCTCTAAGGAGCAACTTGATTCTTTTCAAAGACTGATGACTTTGGAAGCTGGAGGCAACAATTTCATTTGCTCCTGTGAATTCCTGTCTTTCACGCGGGAGCAGCAAGCACTGGCCCAGATCCTGACCGACTGGCCAGACAATTACCTGTGTGACTCTCCATTCTATGTGCGGGGCC